TCCTACCACTTTTTTCCCCCATTCCAATTGCTTTATACCATCATTAATTTCATTAAATTACTTCTTTGTTGAAGCATTTACGATGGCTCCCAACACTGGCACTGTGACTAAATACAAGCCCCTCAAGCCTGTATTCAAAACTCTCCATAACCAGACCTCACTCACCTAACCATTATTTTCCAACACAGGCCTTTGACTCTGTCTAGGTGTCACTATCATTTCTCCCATCTTCCTTTATTTGTTCCAATCTTCGTTGACTCCAGCCCCAGGACCCCACCACCACACATTAAGACCTACCTCAAGATTCCTTCACTATAGCTCTTATTCTACAAACCCTATTAACCCACCTTGCAAAATCTTTCATTGACTTTGAATTTCTTGAACTGGTTTTGGTCATGATTGTTTCTCTAGAATTTGGCGCATAGGAGATTTACAATAAATACCTGTTGAATGACCACACATTCACAGTATCAAAACATCAGAATTACACTCTAAGCAGTTGGTTTGTGTCTTCCATCTGGAAGAGATGGTGACCTCCTCCAGATTAGAGATAACGCCTTACCTTCCGTCCTCTAAGCATGTATCTACCACAGGACACTCAGTGTGCACCCAATGAATGTTTCATGAATTCAAACATTTGAGTGTCTCAAAAAAAGTCTAGGCAAGAATACTTTGAATACCCTAGAGCAGAAACAAAAAATCTATATATTTTAATCACTAATTATTCTTTGCCTGAATGACATGGCTTTTTTTGTGTATTTTTCCTGAGAGCAGAGTTTAATATTTGGTCTTATTTTTAGTTTCCTGGTACTGCTAATAGTGGAAATACCCCAGCACCAATTTATGGCCTGCTCCAAAAACAAAAACAAATTCTGGCAGCGATGCGGAATTGAGTAAGGAAATGGCAGGGACTTCCAAGGTGAGGTAACATAAGTAAACAGGGTTACCCGCAACTCAGTTCCTTTGGGTGTGAATACCTGAAAGGTGACACCATTAAGGAAATCCCTTTCTCCCCTAGAGCAGTGATTCTCAAAGAGTGTTCCTGAGACCACCAGCACTGTTCACCTCCAGTTCCTGGAAGCCAGTCTCTGGGGTGCTAGGGGGGAGACTTTCTCCCAGGGTGCTCCCCTGGGGATCCTGGTGCAGCAGGCTTGGGATGGAGATTTGGGAACGCAGCAGAAATCTGTTCCGAAATCTGTTCTTAACAAGCTCTCCTGTGCACAATAAAGCTTGAGGACCAGCACAGCTGACAGTTAACTACATAACTGACCTTCAAGTTGGAAGGTCAAGTTGGAAGGGGATACCCCTGCACCAGACTCAAAAAAACTAAAAAAGCAGCCTTTGTTCCCTGAAAACACACCATCAAGCTTGCCTCGCAGAATACCAACAGCCACCTCAGCCAGGCAAATGCCTGATAGCTGGGAGAGCAGCTGGCTCTGGGGACACCACCTCCTTTTCCAAGTCCCCCAGGCCAAGGACAGCAATATCTCTTTGTATCACACTGGTTCTATGTCTCTAGACAGGATGGTGGGAGGAGACACTTAATACAGTCCCATTTAAAATGACGGAGGGACATATAAGTATTCTCCCCTTTGAAAGTGAGATGTCCCCAGTGGAAAATGTGCCCAGCTCAAATACAGGGAGCCCCTGGGGAAAAACATGCCCTGCAGGACAAAGGCCAAACCAACAGACCCTGCCAGAGGCTGGATCGTCAGCAAGTGGTGACTTCTCTCTCCTAGCTCAAACATGCAGACGTTCTCTCCAGATGCAGCTGAAAGCTTCTTCCTTCTCGGACTTGGGTCTTAACAATGGATAATTAAAGAGCTTTTCTTGTCCCCTTTCTCCTAATAAGAAGCCAAGCAATCTGGAAAATCAACTGGATAACTTGTGGCCTGGAGCTGGCTGTCCCGCACAGCTAGGGCCAGCAGAGACAGGGAGCCAAAGACTGCCCTTGAAAACTCGTGCTCACCTACACGGTGGCAAACCACCCCAGGGCTCAGACGAGGCCTGGGAGAAACAGCACACTGCCACCAGCTTGGAAATGAAGCCTCCTTTCAGGCAGAAGAGCCAGGCTGCCTTTCCTGTTGACAGTGCCCTTGAAACTAGAGCTGGGCGCAGGGAGGCTGACCATGAGGACCCGAAGGCCAAAGTGATCATGGAGACTGGGAAGAGGTCAACTAGCTTAGAATTTTAGGGAACGGTCACTGAAGGGGTAAAGAGCAGACTGGCACACCCCCAGGACCTTCAGAGGGGTGTGGTGGGTGCCCGGGCCTGATGGAGTGGAAGACAGAAGAGCGCGCCAGCCTGCAACACCCCTGTGGGCATCTAAGGCTCGATCTCACCCACAGACACTGGAGAGGACCACTGGGAGCCCCCAGCTCTCACTGGCAAACTTCTACCACAGCCCCCAGACTTCCTGAGCTAGGGTCCTCGATTTTGTGGCCTCGATCTCCCTAGCACCAGGCATGAAAGCAAAAACTGCAGAGTCCATCGGGGCTAGGGGAGTATCGGGAAGTATCGCATGGGCACAAGAAGGTGAGAATACAAAAGGGCTTAAGAATCCCAAATTCAGCTTACTTGATTCATCAGGTTTTGTTCTAAGGATGCACTGCCTTTTAAATATAGTCTTTAAAAGTCTTTTTACAAGTTGCCGTTTTACTAAACTTTAATAACACTGGTATCTGTTGACTAAACAGCAATTCAGATTAACTAAACAATAAAAGCCCAAATAGCCAAGTCAGGGGTGTTCACCCTAAATCCAGGCCAAGATCTAGAAAGACACAGCCTTTGGCATGCAACATTTGCAAACCTAAACAAAGTGACCACAGCAGCTTCCCATGTGTTGTGAGTGGAGAGCCCGCCACAGCACCGGCTACCCCTCAGGCAGGCTGCTAACCCGGGATGGCGCCACTAGAGCTGGCAGAGAAGGCCTGGGCACTCTCTGCAGAGAGCAGGTGCTGTCTGTACCTGGTGCCCAACTCCCCGTCCTTCTGTTCTGCACACAGGGGGGTATCTACCCTCTTCGGGGGCTCCAGCCCTGGGCTTACTTCTTCCCTCCATTGGCTCTGATGAGAAACACCTGGCTCCAGGCCAGCAGAGCGCCTCTTTAGAGCAGCAGGGAGGGACGGAGAGCAGACTGCCCCGGCTTAGGAGCCAGTGAGCAGTACATCCACCCCTTGCAGAGCCTAGTGGCAGAGCAGAGGCCAGTGGAGACTCTTCCTGAGATGGGAGCAGCACGCACGTCGGAATTCAGAGGGAAAGGAATTGCTGGGGCAGGGCAGGGTGAAGGGGCTAGCAAATTGCTGCTCTAACTCACGAAACATTTCCTAAAGGGAGGGGTGAGGGGAAGAGACAGGAGATAAAAGGAGACAGGGAGGAAGGTGAGTGGGCACCTGGGGACCGGTGTGGAGTGGCTCTCCCAGGGCCAGGGAAGGGGCCATGAGCCGGCAGGCTGAGGGATGGGATGGGAAGCATGGAGAGAGTGAGGAGATTTCCGACAGTTCTGTGGGCAGCCAGGCTGGGGCCAGCAACCAACGGAAGCCAAGCAGAGGGGAAGCCGGCCAAGGTGTGGGCGACAGGTCGGCTGTGTCCACGTGGCTCTAGCACACTTCCCAGCCTCTTCTCTGTGGCCTTGAGAGAAGCGTGGAGAAGGCACATCCACGATGGGAGCGTCAGGGCAGAAGGTCCCAGGCAGAAATGAGTCTTGGGATGGGAGCCTACATGTCAGCCCCTTAGATGTGTATGCGTTCTGTCTTCTCATGGTGGTTCCACTTTTGTTTCTTGCCAACTTCCGTTTTTGCTGGACTGTTTGTTAACTCAAACCTGACCCATCGCTATTTCCACAAAACCGACCCCTGCTTCCCATTTCTATTGACGCTGTCCAATGCACCTGCCACGGGCTGGCCACTGCATGAAGCACCTGAGCCGTGGCCCAGCATCGGATCACCCCAACAGGCCACGGGGCTGATGAGAGGATTTCCTACAGTTTATGGGTTAGGAAGTGAAGGCACAGAGAAATAAGGCCACTGGCCCAGGTCACACAGCTTAGTGAGCAGAGAGATCAGGTTCAACCTTGGATTTTCCTGACCCCACAGCCAGCACTCTCACCTCAGCCCCGTGAGAGCAACGGTTCCCCACCCCGACTGCACAGTGGGGTCCCCAGGAACGCTGCTAGAGACTCCAGATGGCAAAAGCCTTGTCTACAGCCCTGTAGCTACTAGCACTCTGCCTGGCACGTGCTGGAAGTGCAATAACTTCGGTTGAATGACTGAGCACGTGAATGAATGAGTACCTCATGCTTCCCTACCTGGGGCACCACAATTCCCCCACCATTGTGGCCCAAAGCCGGAAGTTGTCTCACCACTGGAGCAAGCCAACTGGCCCCAGACTGTAGTCTCTCCCTTCCTCCAGCCCTTTTCCACACCGATGTACAAGGAATTGTCTCAGAACGTCACTTTCATCCTGCTACCCTGTGTTCCAAGTTTCCAGGGCTTGCTCCAGGTTCAAGGGTATGTTCCTTTACCTGGTATTTAAGACACCTAACAACCTGGTCCCAAGCCATCCTTTCGATCACATCTCCCACTACTCACGTGTTCAGTCCTGGCAAGGCGGGTGTCCTCCCCATCTCTGCACGAGTCTCACACATTTCCACCAGTGTGACTGTGGATGCCACGTCCCTCTCTCCTCCGCCCGTCTGGACCCTACCTACCCACGAGGACCGAACTCCTCTGCTCAGGCTCTGCTCTGCTCTGCTCCCCGCTCCCAGGAGCCCTTCCAACCCTGAGCTTCTACACTATGAAACTTATTTGGCTCTGTTCTTATATGGCTCTTAATTGTCACTGCAAGGTGCACATGTCCTAATTTCCCAAATACATTAAGATCACTTGAGGGCAGCAGCTGCGGGCATCTAATTTTACCTGCCCACAGTGAGTAACACAGCACACTCCCGGTGAGTGCCGCTGGGCGTCCGGCAGCTCCCGTCTCGGTGCAAATGGTCTTACCTGTAGTATCTGGACTGCAAGTAGGTGGAGCACACAGCCTTGGACACGTGACTGGCTGAACCGAAGTCGATGACCTTCACTCTGTATGGCTGTCTGGATGGGTCGACCAGCATGATGTTCTCCGGTTTGAGGTCAGCATGGATAAGGCCCAGGCTTTTGAGTTTCATCAGGGCTGTGGCGACCTGCTGGAGGACCGGGCGAATGTATTTGAGGGGCAAGGGGCTAAACTTGTTCTGCTTCAGAAAGTCATAGAGGTTCTGCTCCAACATCTCAAAGACCAAGCACGTGTGGTTCTTGTGCTGGAAGCACTCGTAGGCCCGGACAAAGTTATAGTCGTCGGCACTCTCTGTGCTCAGCCGGGCCAGGATGCTAACTTCGATCTGACCCTGCCGGGCATAGGACGGGTGGTTCTTCAGGATCTTGATGGCCACAATTTCGTTGGTGCCCCGTTTCCAGCACTTGACCACTTGCCCAAATGTCCCTCGGCCCAGGAACTCTAGAACCTCATATGTGTTGGTCATGGAGCACAGCACTTCATGCTGGACCAGCTGATAGTCACCTTCACTGTTGGAGCCGCTGTTTTTGGAGGTGGCAGTTGACGTGGTGGCAGTGGCTACAGTGGCCCCACTTGCATTATTCTGAATCATGGGTGGATGCTCCTCGATGATCTGCACGCTGCTCGTGTTCTCAATCTCCTCACTCTTGCGCTTGAGTCCGCATTTTTGGTAAGTATCAAGAAGGCTCACAGTGCTTCGACGCATTAGGTTGTGTGGTCCGCCGAGGACCTGCCCGGTGACAGAAGTGCTGCTGGCTGATGTTACCACTATGTGCCCAGTGCTTCCTGGGAAGATGATGGTCTGCTCGTAAGGTAGGCTTGGGTTTGGGATTGGCAAGGAGGTGCTGACGGTTGTGGTGGCTGGCTGAGACGGTGGTATGTTCTTGCTCTGGCTGTACACTTTGCTGTGGGAGCCGTACCCAGTCATGTCCCAGTTGGAACTCGGCTCTACTTTCAGTTTCTTCACACTACAGAAGGCACTTGATTGAAGGGTGTGAGGGGAGAAAACTTGCACATGTGAGGCCATACCTACAAGAAAGGGAAAAGGAAAAATAGATGTTTGAGTCACCTTTGCAGGGACAAACTCAACAGACCCATTTCAGTTCTGATTGGTGGCTTGGGTCATACAGAATATTTTCCTCCCACTTCAGAACGAGCTTGGAAAAGTGAGTCTATTCCACCCAGAAGCACATCCTGGTCACTCGGTTTGTGGAACCAAGTGGTTCTAGTGTTCTGCCTGCCACCGTCAGATGGGTGGGAGACTCGCAGAGCAGAGCCGGGAACACAGTCAAGACTCAGATACAGAATTAGACTATCGGGACTTAGTCTAATCAGTTGTTATAAACGTTATTTGTGGCAGAAATAAATTCTTCCTCAATTCTCACTGGGTTGCATCCTACTAAAACTGAAGACTGTATCACATATCAGGCGGCCCCAGTAACGGCCATGTACCTCGTTGGCCCACGTGGCCAGCTCGGCCTTGTCAACACACCTGTCAGGTTCACTGGTTTGAGGTTCATATTCCCACAGACGCCCCATCACGGGGCCACTCGTGATCTTCTGGATTCTGGGTGAACCGTACTAACTGCCTGGCTTCTTAGTCATCTTAAACGAATTCATTTAAGTTGAGTGGGTCAACAGTTAATCTGCTGTTTTTCATTTAGATAGACTAACTATAACATTGTATCAGCCTCCTTGGAAGGGATTGGGTAGCACAATTCATGGGCTCTAGTCACTCTCTTCTACTAAATTCATATATCAATACATTTCTCTAGAAAGCACTGTTATTGCATACTAACATCTCATCTGCAATTTAGATAAGCTCAGAAATCTATAAGACCATGACTCTGTAATAGTTCTATGATTTGTAATTATGCTGATACTGGAAACAAAAATTCATAGAAAATGTGTTAGGGAAAAAATAGTAAGGGGATGAAGAAGGCTAAGTCTTTAAACATAAAAGTAGAAACAAACACCGCCCATCTTCTATGCTGCAGTTAACGAACATTTCTTAGAGAAGCACAAGGAAAGTGGGGCTTCTGCCAAGTGCCCCTGGTGCTTAGCCAACCTAGTGTTTGTCTCTCCGGGTCCCAGCGTTACTTAGGGGGGTTATTTAATATCTCCCTTTTCACCCTACCAGCCATCACCCTGGTCTACCCTCCCTCAGTAGGTGACCCACCTTCCACTTTGTCCAGAAGACTGAGGTCAGCCTCACTCTCCTCCTTTATTCTCTTCTTCATTTCAAAACATTCCTGAATTTACATCCATCCTCCATCCTTTGTTCCCTCTCTCTAGTCTCAAGGAAAGAGGTGTTTCTCTTTCCCAACCCTAAAAAAGTCCCCACTATTCTCATGATCTGTATTCTCCCATTTTCTCTTGAACCTGCTCCTTCCACTATTCTCTTACAGCTTCCAATCTCTCCCTGTCAACGGGATCCGAGTTCTTAGTAAGTACTTAACAAAGGTTGGCCAAACAAATCAATGACTTCATCTTTTCCTTCTGCCTTCATACATATGCGTGCACACAGACTCCCAACTGGGAAGGCAAGAAGAGTAACAGCCGTATCCCCCTCATGAATCTTTCCCTCTTCTCACCTGTAACCAATGCTTTATGCTCCTTTTCTTCAAAGCTCACGTCTTAATCCATCTGCCCTCATTCATGGACTATGGCCTGTGTTTTTCTTAAAGGTAAATGACTTCCTAATTGCCTAATCCAATGGCCTTTTTCAGCTCCTGTTCTCCTTAACCTCTCTGCAACATCTGATACCGCTGACCACGACTTCCTTCTTGATGTTCTTATCTAGACTTATGAGAATCTGTAACCTCCTCCTCCCGGGTCTGATTGCACATGGCGCTAGGGTGGTTCCTCTTCCTCTTCCTCCTTCAAAGTGTTGGCATTTCCAATGTTTTGACTCCATTCTCTCTGGAAGACATCATGCATTCAAAGAGTGTAAGCTGTTGTCTCTACGCAGGTGTCTCCCATGTGTTTATTGTATTTAATGTATTTCTGCCTCCTGCTGCAACATCAAAGGCCATGTTCCAAAGCTGAACTCCTTATCTTTTCCTAAAAATCCAGCCACCTCACCTTCCATCCTAACACCTCCGTTTCTGTTTATTAAATGTTCTTCTAGTCACTTGGTTCAGAGACTGTGGATTTACCTAGGACGATTCTTCTTTACCTCCACAGCCAAGAAGGAGTCTTCTTAACGTCTCCTGCTTCTAAAATGTCTCTTGCATTCGACTCTTTATTTCTGTTCTTGCTGCCACTTCCATAGTTGAGGCATTTATCACTTTCTAGTATGATTAAAGCAAATACAGGCATCTGGAATACCTGGGCATTCTATCTCCCTTTAGTTTACCTATGTTCATTCAGCCATCAGATTAATCTTCCTGAAGCACCTCTGAGCATGTCATTCCTCTGTCCAAAAACTTCCAATGGCTCCTTAGTGTCTAGGAGATAAAGGTGAGGACTCCACTGAATACCTTTGTATTTTGCTTCTAACTACCCCATTAGCTTCAGCTGTAACTATTTACCTCCCTGATCCTCACCTCTACCAAGCTGGTCTACTCATTGTTTCTAGAATGTCGCTTACACTTCCTACCTTCATACTCTCGCACCGTTCCCCGCCTGGCATGCCTTACTGCTTCCTCAACTCACCCAAAGACCAGCCAGTTCAGACCCTTCTCTTCCCAGACCACTCCAACCCGCAGTGACCATTCTCTGTGCCTATGGCACTTACCACAGGTGCCATCCATTTGGCCACAAATTGTGTTTTTGTAAAATTTCTGCTCCTGTTGAATTGTTTATCTTTGTGCTGTTTAGCTATTTAGGTCATGCTTCCATAAACAGGCTATATTCTCGGGGCAAGAGCTACAGTTTATACTCCATACTTCTTTATGTTTCCTCCAGTATTAAGCCGAGTTTATTATACATTGTCAATGCTCAGTTGATGTGATGGAGTGCTCTAACCGGCCAGGCCTCCAGGATCACTTAGTGCTCTGGCCACAGAACAATCACCAGTCACACACACCCATGGAACCTGGCCTCTCTCTGGAGATTAGAGAAAAATCTGCCAATACTTTCCCACCCAAATCGAGACTTTTTAAAAACCAAGGCAGAGGCCAGGCAGCTCCTGTCCTGGGCTCAGCAGTCATGTTCTCTCCGCGCTTCAGCCTGGACCTGCTCTGTCTTCCTAGGGGCAGTTCTGGCCTAATGCCCAACACCTGCTCTGAGCCCCACCTTTGGCCTAAGCCCACGGATCTGCTGGAGGTGCCCCATCGTGTTTGAATCCTGAACTCCAACCTCTCCCTGTATACTAGGACTACCTGCCTGTATATATCCTTATGCCCGACAAGACCATTTTGGCTTGCCTATTCAGAATCCACACTTCACCTGTTCCTTATTACTGCTCTTTTTGTTCAAGTCAACCTCCGCCTAATTCTACAACAACACAGAAAACTGTTACTCTCTATTTAATAGGATGAATTAAACATCCGTATTGTTCTAGATGTTGTATACGATATAGAAATGACCAATTACTTGGCTTTCAGTAACTTAGCCGCTGAAAAGGCAAAGCAAAATACACATTTCCTTCATCCTTTCACATCCAGTTTGCTGCTTGCTCCTCAATCCTCAAGTGTGTCAGAGACGGCAACAAGAAATATGCTGACTGTACATAAAGGAGGTGAAGTTCTATTATCTAGTTTCACTGTTTCAAAAAGATCTTGGTGGAAAGGCCAGGGTGTAGAAGTGGAATTTTACAGAGGGGAAGAGGGTGGCTTATGACTTATTTGTTATTGGGATGACAGCCAAGGGTCATAAAATTGTGGAAACCATCACTGGCTGCCTCTGGTGACAGATGCTCAGGATCTGAGAGGAGACCTGCGTGGCTGGAAACACACTCACCATGGCTGGCTGCCTCAGACGCTGGCCAGGCCTGGTGTGGCCCCTGCTGCTTCTTTGTAAGGTCAACAGCCACTATTCCAAGAAATAGATATAATTCCAAACACAGCTTCGTTACCTTTGTTTTGTAGCACAGGCCATTTTGCTCCTAGAAGCAAAATGCTCAAACAAGATACAGCTAAAGAAAGTCTTTAATAATCATCATTTTTAAAATCCCTAAAATATGTTTATAAGGAATAAAACACTACTGGTGGTTTTGTAGCTTAATCTTGCAATAATCTTATGGCAACAATCAAACTTATTTCCAAACATTTCTCCGTGAGAGTGTTTTTCTGGAACAAACCTTCCTGATTAGTTTAGGTCTCAGGGAGTCAAGCCCACAGCGTTTCACCATTCTATTTATTCAGACCTAAAGCTGGGGACAAGAAGTGGGGCCAGGGGGTGGGAAGGGGGAGCATTATGTTTTCCACTCTAAGGAAATGTTTCCTCTCATTTCTTTCTGTACTGACCCCTGTACCCTTTAAGGGTGCATTTCCCTCCTTATTTACTAATTTTCTTTTCAAAAGAGGCAGGGGCTTAATGGACATTTTCAGTTTGATCATATGGCAAAATCCCAATTGCTTTTTAAGTCATCTCTGCCCTTCCTATTAGGCTCTTGGAAGAGAAAGTCGATTTTGCCCCTCCTTGGTGAAAGACTGGGGAGGCTATGCTAACTCAGAGGGTGGGTTTTGAGCCCATGGGGAGCAGTATGAGGGACCCAGGAAATCTGGTAGGACAAATCTGCAATAATCACATCTGCTCCCTAGAGGAGCCATATAACCCAGACCTTTCCACAAAAGCCACAGTGGCCTCCGCAAGATAAAACTCGTCGAGGCGGCCATATTGTCATTTGCTATGAAAGCACTGCAAGTCACCACAACGTAGAACTAAAGCTTCTGAAAAGTAGCATTTCTATTTCCATATCACTCTGTCTCATAAACAGGCTGAAGTCACAAACACAGAGTATCAGGAAAGCACAGCGGCCTTCAATGTTATTTAATGTTACAGATATGAGTTCATGTGGATGTTACAGAAGTGATCACTTTAAAAACCATTTTAAAACAAATTTATTAAAATTTAAAACAA